TGTTTGTCTATAAAAGAGATCTAATGAATTGGTATAGAACAAAATATAAAAAATTCAAGTGCATTATTTTCAAACAGTTCGGTCTGGTATTTTTCGGTTCTCAAAATCTAGGAACGATCCCGTACCCGTTTCAAACAGTACGGTTTCGGTACGGGACAAAAATATATAGAACCGTTTAAGTATCCGGTATTTGGTTCGGTACCATTACGAGACGGTTCGGTACCGGTTCGAGTTTTATGCCCACCCCTAAGAACTGGAACCGGGCCGGGTCGGACAATTTTTTTTATCTTTTACTTTGTCTTTTAGAATTAATATGAACCCCCCACCCCACCCCCAAACCCCCCTAAACCGCCCAGCCCCACCCACCTAGAACCAGCCCAACCCGAAAAATTAAAAAAAAAATATTTGGGCCCGGACCGGTCCACCTATTTCGAAGCCCGCCTTTATAAGCCCTTGGTTTGGGCCCTAGTCCAGGAACTCCGGGTCAGGTTGGGCCTGTACAGTAACGGGGCAGCCTAGTCCACACCTAGTTTAACCACGCTAACTGTCTTGAAAATTTGCCTAGTCTTTGGTAGAGAGCCTATGAGGTTGTCCATATGAAAATTCTTGAAATAAGAGTAATAATTTTGTGAAACGGGCAAACAGTAGTATGTTCTTTTCTCCTAAGTAGGAAATTAGGAATAAATACTACCAAATTTGAAAATACTAATATGCTGAAAACTTGATAATGCGAAGATATGATTGTAACTAATCTTATATAGATAATAGAAACTGATCATATTTTGGGATTCACAATTTTTTTAGTCCTACTTATAGTCAAATTAAGTGAAGAGTCAAATGCGCCCTCAATAGGCTACTCCATCGTCCTGTAGAGAGGTTCTCACGTGGTTTACGACTTTACGATGTTTGATTGACCTTAAAAATAACTGCTCCATATTCGTAATTTAATTTTGTAGTAAATAAAATTTACATATTTAGAAAGTATACTAAAAGTTTCAGAGTTGCCAAAAAATTGATAAGAGTTGAGATATATAAATTAAAAGATTAAGATTTTTTTAAAAAAAATTAAATAGCCGTTGGTTCTGAATCAGGCCCGGATCACTCCCAAAAAATCAAGCCTGAAGCCCACCTCTTATAACCACCGGGCCGGAACTAGTACCAGTCCCGGGTCGGGTTGCCCGGCCCCGTCCATCCCAATATAGGATGCATGTAGTACTAAATACTTCGTTGGTATATTTCTATGTTTTTTACATGATTAAGTTTATAAATTATTTGAAAAGAAAAACTGTCAGATACTACTACATGTCTACATACTTCGACTTTGAGTAAATGGTCAGTTTGGTACTCAAAGTTGCATAAAATGGGTCAAATAAGTCCTTATTGTCCGGCCGTCGCCATTTGGGGCGGTTCCCGGTGGAATTTTTTGATGAATTTTTTTTAGCATCTTATTCATTAAGTCTAGTTTACTCATACCAAATTTCAGCTAAAACTTCAATCGAGAAGGCATTCAAATAAATTCTTGAAGATAACTGCGCAGTTACCTTCAAGAATTCATTTGAATGTCTTCCCGATTGAAGTTTTAGCTGAAATTTGGTGTGAGTAAACTAGACTTAGTGAATAAGATGCTAAAAAAATTTAGACAAAAAATTCCACCGCCCCAAATGACGACGGTCGGACAATAAGGACTTATTTGATCCTTTTTATGCAACTTTGAGTACCAAACTGACTCTTTACTCCGAATTTAATGTAGCATAGTACGAAGTAATACTTAATGCACAGCCCAAAATATAAAAAATTAAATCCATTGTTTTTAATAATACTACATTAAATGTATTTAATTTGTAAGAACAAATATTGATAAAAAGTTGTACGAAATGCAAATAGTTTAAACTAATTAGGGAGAACTACCAAATAAGCACTCGAACTTACATAAAGAGCCCGTTTGGTAGCACCAAAATCGGCTATTTTGGCTGATTCTGCTGAAATTTATGAAGTTCTGGCTGAAGTGGCTGTTTTGGCTGATTCTGCTGATTCGAGAAATAAATATTTTAAAAATATATTTTATTAATAAAACAAAGAAAAAAATTATATGTAAAAATAGCTAAATTGGTCATCTACAGTAACTTCAGCCAATACAGCCAGAAAAGTAACTCCAACTTTACTTTTTCTGCTTATTACACGATCCAGCGCGCGAAAGTAAAAGTTACGTGTTTGGTGAAAAAGTTGGCTGATAAGCCTGATAAGCCGAAAAAGGAGGTCTACAAACGGCTCAAATCACCCCTTAGAGCATCTTTAATGGGATTGTGGATTGTACCTTCTAAAAAATGGACATGTCACCGCTATTCACAGCCCGTGAAGCTGATGTCGACGTGAACAGTTATTAATTAATTGTTACGCTCCAATGGTATAGTGCGTAAAAAAGAGCCGCACTTAGAACCCTTTTAGACTAATTCGTTGCCTATTGTACATCATAGATCATACAACTCTTCCTTTAGCTTTCTTTTCCATAGATATACTTTGAGAAACAGATCTGAAGATTGCAGTTAGCCTAGAAGTAGGCCTGGACTCGGGCCGGGCGGCCCGACCCGGAACCGGCCCGGCCCGGCCACTGTAGCAACCGGCCCGGCTCGGTGGCCCGGTCCACCGGCGGTTCGGGTCGAACTGGCCCGGTGGTTCCCGGCCCGGGCCTTCCATATGGTGAACCGGCCCGGCCGGTCCGGGCCCGGTCCGGGCCGGAAATAATTTTTTTTTTTATTTTTTTTTTGAAAATTTTTTATGTTTTGGGTTAGATTAGGTAATTTGGTCCATTTGAGGTGGTTTGGGGTTGAGAAAGAGGGGTAGGGGATTAAATAAAGAAGCCAAAAAAAAAATAGGGCGGGTGGCCCGGCCCGGAACCGGCCCGGTCTGGCCCGGAACCGGCCCGGAACCGGCCACCCCCGGTTCGGGCTCGGGCCTCAATATTCTGAACCGAGGCCCGGACGGGCCCAGGCCTGAGGCCCGAACCGGCCCGGTTCAGTCCACCCCTACCTAGAAGTAATTAAAGTTATCAAAGATTTCATCAAGTAGAGTGTATAGTCCAGAACTTTAAGATAGTGCCACCGCCTGAGCAGTCCTAGAAGTAGGGGTGGGCAAAACTCCCGGTCCCGGTGTCCCAAACCGAAAAATCCCGATACTGTTCCGAAACTATCCTGATCCATTTAGGACGCAATTTTTTATCCCGAACCGGTCCCGCACCGATATTAACCGGGACGGGAACGGGATAACTATAAATATCATGTCCCGTCCTGGTGTCCCGTTTGAAATTAATATGTTATTTTTAAATTTCTAATGCTATGTAATAGTCAAGCCTAATTAAAAGCTTCTAGTCCTTGGTCTCCCTAGTGTAATTTTATCTTATTTCATGTCTCTCTTAATCTCATTTCTTTTGTTTCTTTTGATTAAAATTTGTTTAGTTCTCATTCCAATACTAATACATAATACATTATTACATGTAGAATACTATTTATGATGGAATAACTACTACAAATTATAGTGTTGTTATAGATTTAATATTTTCCAAAATAACTACTAGAAAATGTATATATAGTGTATTTATAGATATGATATTTAATTTAATGTGGTATTAAAAAAATTACAAGTGTACTACAAAGTATAAAATATTTACAAGACAAAAATTAAAAATAGTTAATTAAAGGTTTTACTTAACTTTTTAGGGAAGCAAAATTTGCAAAAATAGTTACGTCTTTATTTTGATGTTATGCTTATTTTTATATCACATTTCACAAATGCATATTTTATGGGACATCCCAAACCGTCCCGGTTTTTCTCGGGTTGTCCCGGTCCCGTTTTAAATGGGACAACATTGAGATATAGACTTATCCCGTACCGTACTGGACCGTTGTTTTAAAACCGGGACGGGATCGGGATAAGCCAAACCCGGACCGTCCCGGACCGTGCCCACCCCTACCTAGAAGAGTGTAAGTTGGCTAGCTTATGATGATTCACACTTGTATAGAGCCCGTAATATGATAAATTTGTTGTAGTTTTGCCTTTTGGTGTACTGTGGAAGCATTTTATTAATTATATGTTTATAATCAATGAAAGAATTTGCGAAGTATATACAGTTATAATTAATAATATTATGGAAGTGGGTGTAGATTTCAAACCCATTTGTGTGTTTTGGAAATATGTTTGTCGTAGTAGGTTGAATGCTCCAGCCACTGTCATCCTTAGATTTTGACCGCCTCTTCTTCCAAGAAACGACAGCCCACCTCCCAGTTCTGCTGGAAGCACATCTGCCCATCTACAGTCCGCCGTTTCTGTAGCTATAGTTCTTGACGAGCGGAACCGCTCGTACAGCCCCACCGGCCCTTCAATCAAACGAACAAGATCAGAAAAATACTTCAAAGACCGGAGGAGTTTCAAGCAGAGGCGAAGGAAACGAGAAATTAATTACTTGCTGAATGCTGAGTCAGAGTGTGAGATAGCCTTGCTGAAAATCCATGGAGTGGTAGAAGGCGTGGGTTTTTTCCCATACCAGCTCAGCCACACAGGGCAAATACGTTGTTCGGTTGGATACCTTTTTTTTACTTCCACTCAATTATAGATGCTCTTATATAGAAGGCTCTGTCCGGCCGTCGTCATTTGGGGCGGTTCCCGGTGGAATTTTTTGATGAATTTTTTTGAGCATCTTATTCATTAAGTCTAGTTTACTCATATCAAATTTCAGATAAAAATTCAATTGAGGAGACAGTCAAATAAATTTTTGAAGATAACTGCGCAGTTAAACAACACAGTATATTTCAGAAAATCATTTGACTGCCTCCCGATTGAATTTGGTATGAATTAACTAGACTTAATGAATAACCTCCTATATAAGAAGTGATTTACACTTTTTATGTAAGTTGGAGGGCCTATTCGGTAGTTCTCCCAATTAATTAACACTGATAATATTTGTAACACTACCAAGATTTGATAATAACAAAGTTAAACGAAGTCCTTCATAAACCATACAGCTACCTAAAAGAAAATGAGTAATATCAGACTCCGCATAAGCATCTACAATAATACTTGATCCGAACGAATAATATAAACAACTAATGCCTAGAGCAATCGGCTACTTGTCAAATAAAACCATTTTAACAGTTACAGTTTTCACAGGTAAAAGGCCTCTTAACAAGCACTACCATACAAACTAGTCAAACTAATACAAGTATACAACAGACAACAGTGACTATAAAACATGGATAGTAAAGGCTACAACAGTGACTACATCTATAGTGTAGTAAAGGCCTACTTGGTTAGGACAGAGGGAGGGGAGGGAGTTTCCCTCCCGACTCCTACAACCAAACGGCCCCCAAAGTTTTACAATCCCGTTATTCGATATCATCAATCCAGTCCCCATAAATTTTACTTATTTTATCAGGCCCTTTCCATTTATGAAATGCCCTTGCCCCATTCCTCTGAGGCATGCAGGATGGTCTTTGCATTGGAATGCCTCCCAACCCTAAATGATAAGCATCTCCATAAGGGGCAGATATGGTTGACACTGCCATGTTTTCTGTTGGCTTTATCATTCCCGCTCCCTGACTCGAAGCAGATTCTTTGCCCTCAAAACTTCCCCCGAACTTGTGCAATTCTGTTAGAAGTTATCATACATGAAGAACAGTTAATGAAAATAACCATGTAAACTCACAACACACTTCATCCCAATTTAAAACCAAAGGCAGTGGGTTGGTGCAAGTATAAAGCACCAAAGCACATAACAACATTCAAGCGCTATAATAATTTATGGCTATAAAGCAGGGAACTAATCTGTGTTACAGAACCCTGAGAATATTATCACACATGTTAGAAAAGCACCTCATGTACGGATACATCCAAGAGAAAATAATGACTTACAAATCTTAGAAACATTCTTATACCTGAAGAATAGTGTAAAAAGAAAACAAAATCATGGAACCCTTCGTTACTAGTTTTTGCTGCAGAACTATCAAAACTCACAGATCCATGTATAGATTTTTTTTATTATAAATAGCGCATGTCTGATAGAAGATTTGGAAAAATGACGGGAAGGTGTTACAGATTCCTTTTGGGGCATAAGATATCAAAGGAAAGCAATCCGCAATTAATGGAGTAGTAGACTACAAGAATAGAAGGAATCATAGATTTTAAATACTTTACTGATTTGCTGCAATTGTTATTTTTGATTTATTTTCTTTCCATTTAAGTTGGCATAGAATAAGGGAATTGATTGTAGAATCAACTCTATATATTGGCAGAATCCTGCAGGAATAAAGATATGCAATTTTCACCCTAAACTACTGAGCATTGCCAAGGGCAAGCCTCATCTCATTTTCTGGGACTCGTCAAGGACGACCCCTGCCTTCTTTCATTATTGCTCGTAAAAAGAAGACCCGTCCATTCTCTGTCCTTCCCACGTCAAGCTACAGACCGTGGACGAGGGCCTGCACCAACACACTTAACAATTTGGTATCAGATTTCAGGACGATGGGCGATCCATCTGAACTTTTCAGCACTCTCAAATCTGCTCTCGAAACTCAGAATGCTCGCACAGGACGGCTTGAAGAACAGATGGCTGAAATTGCAGATTCCTTGAGCCGTTTGGGACAAACTCATTCCGTGGTTCCACCGGACATCCAAGATTCAGGGACACGGATTCACTCTCGCGAGCCTTCCCGCACTGCGGCCACCACAGAAGGTGGCAGCTCATTCGCCCCCAGGTTCTCCAAATTAGAATTTCCCATGTACGATGGTACCAAAGATCCCGTGATTTGGCTGAGGCGTTGTGAGAAGTTCTTTGACCACCAAAACACCCCAAGGCCTGACCAAATCCGGCTTGCAACCTTCCACATGACAGGAGAGGCACAACTATGGGCTGAAGACCTGGAATCATCAGGAGAAGCATCCACATGGCCCCACTTCCGCGACCGTTGTATTTTGGCTTTTGGGCCTCCATTAAGCTCTAATCCAGAAGGAGATTTGTTCAACCTCAAGCAAACAGGGACTGTCTCGGAATATATTTCTGCATTCCGAACACTACTGCCTCGAACAGAGGGATTCGACACCCGTTTGAAGGTTAAACTTTTCACTGCCGGATTGCAGGAGTATATTAGGCTGGATATTGAATCCCAGCACCCCGGAAATCTTGATGTCGCCATGAGTTTGGCTCGTGCAATTGAGCGCAAATCCATCGCGACACCAGGTCCTGCCTACCAGCAACGACAGAAAAATGTCTTGGCCCCGTCTCCGCCTATTGTAGTTTCACCACAACAAGGTTTGACGCCTTCTGCCAGTACTGCCACCTCCCACGCAGTGGACCCCAATTCCACTCGCAAAAACTACACTCCTCGCTTCATTCACTTGACAAGGGCACAACGGGCAGACCGCCAAGCTAAGGGGTTATGTTACAATTGTGACGAAAAGTGGAGTACCGGCCACAATTGCCGTCGCCTTTTTGTAATTGATATCGCTGAAGAGGATGAACCACAATCGGAGGATACCTTCAACGATTCTGATCCAGAGATTTCCTTGAATGCCATCACTGGCACACGCCATTCATCTACTATGCAACTGGTTGCTCACATTGGGGGGACACAAGTGGTAGTTTTGGTGGACTCTGGGAGTACCCACAACTTTGTGCACAAGGATTTGGCAACTACAATGGGGTTCCACATTTCGCCTCAATCCAAACTCCGAGTGATGATGGCAAATGGAGACCGTGAACCCATTTTAGGGATGTGCGCAGGTCTTTCCTTTGAAGTAGGTGGAGTCCACTTCTCTGCTGATTTTTATGTCTTAGAACTTCCAAGTTACGATGCCATACTCGGTGTACAATGGTTACGGCAGTTGGGTTCCATACTTTGGAACTTTGACACACTGTCCATGAAGTTTAAATGGAAGGGTCAAACTGTTGAATGGGTGGGGCAGCTTCCAGATTTCGTTCCTCGCTTGAATTTATCTATTACTGAGACCTATGACAGGCATCAAATGGATGGCTTATTGGCAGGTTTTGAGGACCTGTTTAGCGAGCAGTTTGGCCTTCCACCAAGCCGCAATTGTGATCATCGCATTACTCTTAAGCCAGGCTCAGGTCCTGTGGTTGTTCGACCCTATCGTTATCCTTATTTTCAGAAGGATGAAATTGAACGCCAATGTGACACCATGCTGCAACAGGGAATCATTCGCTCCAGTCATGCACCATTCTCCTCGCCAGTGCTGCTGATTAGGAAGCCAGACACATCATGGCGTTTTTGTGTAGACTATCGGGAACTGAACGCTCGGACAGTGAAAGATAAGTTCCCTATTCCGGTGGCAGAAGAATTATTTGACGAGTTGCACGGTGCACGCTATTTTACTAAATTGGATCTGTGCTCAGGCTATCATCAAGTACGAATGGCGCCTGAAGATGTCGAGAAGACAGCATTTCGCACTCATCATGGCCACTTTGAGTTTCTCGTTATGCCATTCGGCCTCACCAACGCTCCCTCCACCTTCCAGAGCTTGATGAATGAGATCTTTGGGCCATACTTGCGTAAGTTTGTTCTGGTGTTTTTTGACGACATACTTATTTACAGTAAAACATGGTTGGAACACTTGCACCATGTTCGACTCGCCTTGGAGGTGCTTCGTGCTCACACACTATTTTTAAAACGCAAGAAGTGTTTTTTTGGGGAACTTCGGGTGACCTACCTTGGGCATGTAGTGCACGGAGATGGAGTTGAAGTGGACAAATCCAAAGTTCAGGCAATTGTTGATTGGCCGCAGCCACGAACAGTGACTGCCTTGCGAGGATTCTTGGGTTTGGCAGGTTATTACCGCAAGTTTATACGTGGTTATGGCGACACAGCTGCACCCCTAACTAGTCTGCTCCGCAAGAACAATTTTGTGTGGAATGATGAGGCCCACAATGCATTTCAGGAGCTCAAGGTCGCTCTGTCCACAGCCCCAGTTTTGCAGCTCCCAAATTTCAGCGACACATTCATTGTGGAATGTAATGCTTCGGGATCTGGGTTCGGGGCAGTCCTTCAACAATCTGATCATCCTATTGCTTATTTTAGTCAGAGAATAGCTGCCCGGCACATCAAATTAGCGGCCTATGAAAGAGAACTAATTGGATTGGCCAAGGCTGTTACACATTGGCGCCCGTATCTGTGGGGGAGTGAATTTCTCATTCGGACAGACCACTCAAGTCTTAAACATCTGTTAGATCAACGACTCTCTACCTCTCCACAGCAACATTGGTCTAGTAAATTGATGGGGTACCATTTTCGGGTGGAATACAAGCCTGGGAGATTGAACAAAGTGGCAGATGCTCTTTCACGACGGGACGAGAATACTGTGGAGCTTCAGGCCATCTCTTCTCCTCACATTGACGTGTTTGATCACATCCGCCAAGAGGTTAAAACCACTCCTGAGTATGCTGCCCTAGAAGCTAAGATCAAAGCAGGGGATCTGGGTATTGACTGGAGCTTGCGTGATGGCCTGGTGTGGTACCGGGGGAAAGTCTTCCTCATCCCTACCTCTGCCACCATCTCTACCCTCTTGTCCACCTTTCATGACATGGCTCATGAAGGCACCGAGAAAACACTTCACCGGATTCGGAGGGATTTTTATTGGGAAGGCATGAAGCGGGACATTTCTACTTTCATTAAAGATTGCCAAATCTGCCAGCAACACAAATGGTCAAATCTTCAACCTGCTGGGCTCCTTCAACCCCTGCCTATCCCAGGCCATATATGGTCCGATGTGTCCATGGATTTCATCGAAGGGCTCCCCAAATCTAGGGGAAAATCTGTAATCATGGTGGTGGTGGATAGATTCTCTAAATCAGCCCATTTTATTGCTCTTAGTCATCCCTTTACTGCCATTTCAGTGGCAACGTTGTTTTTTGCTGAAATTTTCAGACTGCACGGTCTGCCAGAGTCCATAGTTTCAGATCGAGACAAAGTATTTATGAGCCAATTCTGGAAAGACTTGTTCCGTTTGAGTGGCACTAAGTTGTCCTTCTCTTCGGCCTATCACCCGCAGTCTGACGGACAAACCGAGGTGGTTAACCGCACACTTGAGATGTTCTTACGTTGTTTGTCGAGTGATTTACCTAAACGGTGGGTCCAGTGGTTGCCTTGGGTGGAATATTGCTACAACACCTCTTTCCACTCTTCATTAGGTGACACACCCTTCCGTGTGGTCTATGGGCGGGATCCTCCACGTTTGCTTTCATATACTGCAGGCACAACAAAGCTGGATGTCGTGGACAGGATGTTGGTGGAGCGGGATGAAATTTTGGCTGCGGCAAAGGCCAGGCTAGCTCAGGCACAAAATCGAATGAAGCTCGCCTACGACAAAAAACATAGAGATTTGGAATTTAGTGTGGGTGATTGGGTGTGGCTGCGCATTCATCCGTACAGACAACTCTCAGTGGCCAAACAACACCATAAACTCCTTCCTAAATATTTTGGTCCATTTCAGATTGAAGCCAAGGTTGGGGCAGTCGCTTACAAGTTGGAGTTGCCACCAGACTCAAAAATTCACAACGTGTTCCATGTGTCTCTTCTAAAGCCGCACCGTGGGCCGCCTCCACCCACCATGGGGACATTACCTCTGTTGTATGATGATAAAGCCTTACCCACTCCAAAGTCGGCCCTACGAGGCCGTCTCAATAGGGGCACACGTGAGGTGCTCATTCACTGGGAAGGGGAATCAGAAACAACTGCTACTTGGGAACCTTGGGATCACTTCCAGGAGACCTATCCAGACTTCAAGCTTGCGGACAAGCTTGGCATCGAGGAAGGGAGTGATGTTACAGATTCCTTTTGGGGCATAAGATATCAAAGGAAAGCAATCCGCAATTAATGGAGTAGTAGACTACAAGAATAGAAGGAATCATAGATTTTAAATACTTTACTGATTTGCTGCAATTGTTATTTTTGATTTATTTTCTTTCCATTTAAGTTGGCATAGAATAAGGGAATTGATTGTAGAATCAACTCTATATATTGGCAGAATCCTGCAGGAATAAAGATATGCAATTTTCACCCTAAACTACTGAGCATTGCCAAGGGCAAGCCTCATCTCATTTTCTGGGACTCGTCAAGGACGACCCCTGCCTTCTTTCATTATTGCTCGTAAAAAGAAGACCCGTCCATTCTCTGTCCTTCCCACGTCAAGCTACAGACCGTGGACGAGGGCCTGCACCAACACACTTAACAGAAGGACTACTAGCTTATTGCAAGACTATTTTATTTGTAATCAATTACAAGGAAGGACTATTTTATTTGTAATCGTCTAATCAATTACAAGTACATCACAAGGATAAAGAGAACATGTTCAAAACCCCTTTAGTAGAGACTAGAGAGTAGGACCCCAAGTGAAGACTAAAACAAGTTATCACCTTAGTAATTAATGGTGTATCCTGAGCATTAATTGTCATTTATGTCAAGCAAAACATTAAATAATTAGGACAAGTTACAGCTTGCACGGTCTGAAGGTGATGCTCATGTCTGATCTGTCCGGTAAAGAACGGATGGCCCAGAAGAAGACAAACAGCTGATCCATACTCAAATCATGGAAACCCGACCCATTGTTTTTCTTCCACTGGAACGTCTGTTTGAGATCAAACCAGGCAGATGCGAGCATAAAACTCGCACAACCTAAAGGCAACACATGCATTCGGAATCCAGTTTATGTGCTTTTTATAGTAATGTATCCAAATTTGATTGTTCAATATCCTGAATTCCGATTAGTCGATTACCCTTCATAGTCTTGTTCATAGACACATTAAATGTGCCTCAGTTACAATATACACGATTTGTGGTTTAAGAAACAAGGACTGCAAGTTACTGAGTCAATGCACAAGCCCCCCGAAAAAAGTAAAGAAAAGAGAAGAAAGAAATACGCAGTATTACTTTAGTTTATAATGAACTCCTTAGGGCTATGTTTGGATTCCGAAATGCAAAGAAAAAGTTGATAAACATTATTTTCTTATGTTTGGTTCTACATAGGGAAATATAAAGGAAAATGAAATATGAATAAGCTTTTTACATTTGTTAGGATTTTTTAGTATTTATATTAAAGGCATAAGTAACAAATACGATCTGAAGAAATTGTAAACATATACTTATTGAGATTGATCCAGTACTTTGTTTTTGTCAACAAGTTCTTTCCTTCCAAGACTCTTTGAAATTTTGTCTCATTTTCTTCTCCAGAATTTTCTCAGATCTAAACTCACCTTAAGAGTTACCGGTCCTCCAACCCACACATCCTAAGAAATGAGATAATGGCTCAATCTTGTACTCCATACCATACTAAGATGCACATTAAGTTCTATAAGAATGATATGCAGATATTAAGACGACTTGCCAGCTCATTTCGTAACTATACATTGCTATATTAGATTATTGACCATACTTATATCAACTAAGATGACACGAATTCCAATTGAATAAATGAAAGAGATGATTCATATTTACAATGAAATGACAATTCTAACTACCTTTTCCAGTGTTGTCCATATAAAATATTACTACACATCTTTTTTGGGTAATTACACACCTAATCAATCATCCTAACAAAAAAATTACCAAAATCTTTTAACTCAGCCTATTGGGCTCATAAGTATCTAATCAAACTATAGCATTCTCACATAACAGTTGAAGATATGGCCTTACCGTCAGCTCCATGAGCAAAATGGCACTTGGTCCCGAACGGGCAGTATCCAGTTGTCTCCCACTTGTTACAAATTCTAGTCTTCCAGTTGGAATGCTTGGGGGTTGGGGCAGTTGGACCACTATTACCAAACCCTCCAACATTAGGAGTCACACTTATAGCCACACTCTCACGAGTTCTAGACTGTTCGTCATGAAGGAAGGAACAACTATCGCCATACGGACAACCTTCTTCGGTGAAAAACCTCTTGCAGTGCCTCCCCTTGTAAGACCTCTGAGTCTCACCGCCACGTAGGTCAGGAGAGCTCATAGTTGGAATCTGGTGTTCCTCTCTGGCAGGTGGTGGCTCTTCACTCTCATGTGCAGCAACTATCTCTTGCCAATTCGGAGGAGGCTTACGAAGCTCTTCCATCCCATGAGCGAAATTACAATTGGTAATGTAAGGGCAGACGCCTGCCCGGAACTTGCAACACAGTTTAGTCTTGAAGAACATTTTCCCAATTGCTTTGGATCGGTTAGGGGCTATGAATTGAGACTCTCCTTCCTGCGAGCAGCGAGATCTCTTGCTCGGGGGCTCGCTTGAAAGGGTTTCGGCAGAAGAACCACCTGGGTTCCAGGCAATGTAGTCATCCTCAGTCGCCCAAACGGCCTGATCCATTGTTGGGCCCCAGCTGTCGAACCCCATGCCTGCACTGGCATCAGAGAGCGCATTTCCTCCTGAAACTGTATCTCCCACGAAATCCATAAATAGAGCACATACAACCACCCCAAAGTCGTAAAAACGCAGGTTGCAGGAAAAACATACATAAACAGCAACTCAAACTGCAGTTTCCCGTTTGTTAACCAGGAAAGATCTGACCTTTTACGCTGAGATGAACTGAATTTTTATATCCGAAGTGAACTTCGTTGGAAGTTACAGAAACTCGGCAGAAAACCAAACCTCCAACACGCCCACCGTTCTAATAAGAGATAACAACCCTAATTACGAAGCTTCGAATCTCCCACCACTCGCACATAAATTTAATTCAAGACCCCAAATTTCAGAGGGGATTCAAAGCGAAATGAAGAGAACACAAGTAATACAACAAGCATATCGAAGTAGTTCTAGCGATAGCTGGGGCCTGGGGTTGACGAAAGGTAATAATGGAGATCCCAGAGCTATTCATCACCATAATAATAATATCCGTAATAATTAGACTCGAAGTCATTAAAACGGAGTAATAATCCGTTTAAGCAACTAAACACTTGGTGGGGTATGGTTGAATACTTGAATTGGTGGGAGATAGGCTGAATTTAATGGCGTTCATTTTTCCTAGCTGTGGTTTTTCTGTTAGGGTAAACGCATTTATATTAACCAATTCAGATTAAACATGATTACGATCGATTCAAATCAATTCACTCGAGAAACAATTATGTGACAAAAGTAGAAATGATCACATCCAGCAACTCATATCGTAGACCACTAAACAGGCAATCCTAAATTAAAGTCGATAATATTGCTTCTAATTTTAACAATAATTCCTTACAAGAGCAAAATTGAATTAATACGAAATAAGGCAAAACCAAAACTCTTAACAACTTCAAAGATAATAAACGAAAAATAAAGTACAATATTGAACCAAATGAGACTATTAAAAGTAGGCTAAATGGTCAAATAGGTCTTAAAACTAACTTAAAGTGTTCAATTAGCCCCTTATATAAGAGGTTCTATCCGGCCGTCGCCAATTGGGGTGGTTCCCGATGGAATTTTTTGATGAATTTTTTTGAGCATCTTCTTCATTAAGTTTAGTTTACACATAACAAATTTCAGCTAAAAATTCAATCAGGAAGGCAGTCAAATGATTTTTTGAAGGTAACTGTGCAGTTAAACAACACAGTACATCTTCGGAAAAACATTTGACTGCTTTCCTGATTTATTTTTTAGCTGAAATTTGATATGGGTAAACTAGACTTAATGAAGAATATGCTCAAAAAATTTCATCAAAAGATTCCACCAGGAACCTCCCCAATTGGCGACGATCAGGCTGAACCTCCTATATAAGGGGCTAATTGAACATTTTGAGTTAGTTCAAGGGCTTATTTGACCCTTTAACCTTAAAAGTAATAAAAGATTGTGTTAGTTAAAAAATAGAAAAAATCATCGATGTGTAGTCATGTTGTGTCCTCCCCTGATTCAACTTGACATGATGATTTATCTTGTCTTTCTAAACACCACAACGTTTGCTCTCTGGATTCAAACTTCTAACTTGCTTCCACTTCTCTATTCTATGGTGGTGGTTCGGGAGGGGGCGGACTAACGATGCCACCATAGACGGATTGAGGAGCATTGTGACCTTTGGACAAAACGGATCTTGGGTTAGAGGAATACGAACCATTAGTCGTAGTTCAGAAACAACATAACTCCGGAACTTCTCATCCAGACACTAGACTTGATTAATAACATGCTCGAAAATTTTTATCGAAAAATTCCACCAAGAAGATCATCTGAACTACCTTATGTGATCTTTTTCCTATATATGTATATAACAAATGAAAGCTAAACCTAAGTTACATAGATGCGAAAGGGGGAGGGATATGCATCACGGGCATTGTGTACTTGTTTCAAGGCGTGGAGCCATGCAGTTACTTCAGACCTCTAGTACTATCCTCACAAACCACCACGAGCCTTTACCGCACACTTTGTCCTCACTCATGCGCGCCCTGAGAAACTTCCCATCCAAGACTACTCTCGTGTATGCACGCTTAACTTTGGAGTTCTTGGTGACGAGCTCCCTTAAAAAGAGATACATCTTGTTGGTATGATTAGTACTATTAATCCTCTTAAATTAATCTCGGGTATTACAATCACCCCCATTTAGGATCGTGACGTCCTCGTTGCGCCCTTAAACCAATCTCAATCAAACCCCAGAATTCTCCCCCCTGCTAAGTGTCTGCCCGATATCCAACGGATCAACACATTGTCGCGGGGTTGCTCTGATACCACCTGTAACACCCCAGTCCCGCAGGACCGAGGTAGTTACTTTAGACCTCTAGTACTGTCCTCACGAACCACCACGAGCCTTTACCACGCACTTTGTCCTCACTCATACGCGCCCTAAGAAACTTCCCAGAGGGTCACTCATCCCAAGACTACTCTCGTGCAAGCACGCTTAACTTTGGAGTTCTTGGTGATGAGTTCCCTTAAAAGGAGATGCATCTTGTTGGTATGAGTAGTACTATTAATCCTCTTAAATTCATCTCGGGTATTATAGGGCCCCCGCCTGGCCAGTCCCATTTCTAAATAATTGAAGGCTGGTACCGACCTGGTTTGGTCTGGTACCGGTTCTGGTCCGGGTTAAAACATTTCTGGGTCCGGGTCGGTCCTGGGCCGTTACCCTCCTTTTTTTTAAGTAGTCGTTAGGATCAGAACTAGGCCCGTCTGATTCGGTCTCAAAAGTTGAAGCCTGAGCCCGACCCTTTTCATAACACGGTCCGGGTACCGGGCTGGTACCGGAAAACTGGTCCCAGGCCGGTACTAATAAGTTCTAACAAAAAAATAAATGCCTACATGAGTAGGCTGGAAGGATATCTAGGGTTTTTGGTGAAAGAAACGGCAAAGCGGTATAAAAATTAAAGAAATCGGTTATCCTCTAATTTCATCGACCAATGTCTATTTTATTTAAGTTTTATTTTATCTAGTCAGCAAATTTACAATACTTTCTATAGTGAGACTTTTCCCTTATTTATCTGCATATCTGTATTCTCTTTGAGCAATCCCACCAATTCCATTAATTCCACCAATCCCACTAATCCTTTGAACATTTCTTTTTCTCTTTGCTTTTTTTTTCTACAATTCTTTTTCTCTTTGCTTTAAGTTGAATTCAACTTAAATTACAACTCAATCTACTTTTTTATTCTTTATTAATTCATAACAAAAAAATATTAATGTAAATAAAATAAGTATATAACATTTCACATTCACACACTATTTTTATTTCTTTAATATTTTTGTATTATACACTTTTTTTTGCAATATTAGTTTAAATAAAATAAGTATATTAAACTTCACATTCATACACTATTTTTATTTTTATAATATTTTTTATATTCATACACTTTTTTGTAATATACTTTTTATATTCATACACATTTTTGTAATATATTTTTATATGCATAAACTTTTTCTATAATATTTTTTTTTATCTCTTTTATACTACACTACAAGAAATCAAACATTTTATGACAAATATTTGTGTGACAAAACAAAAATTGTCACATTTAATTGAGTTATAGTTACAAAATGTGAATTTAATTTGTCACTTTAAAACAACTTCTTATGACAATATTTTTTATGGTCATTTTATCTCTTAGATTTTGTCACTAATGGATAAAATACATGACAATAAATTTGAGATTGTCACCTAACTTTTTGAGCGCCAAAATATGACGTAAAATTTTGGAGGGAGTTTTTTTTGTGACATTTTAACAATAATTAATGACGATAATTTGTGTCATATTATTTTGAATTATAATGACATATCATATTCTGTCACTTATTGTTTTACTAAATAATGACAACATTATTTCGTCATTGATATTTCTCTTTGGTGACGATAAATCTAAATTTGTCATAATAGCACTATTTAATAACATTATTTCATTCTTCTTTTGTAACGAGTAATGACGTTGCTAATTATTTATTAATGTTTCCATGTAACAATGAATACTGAATACTATTAGGATGTTTTTACGGGTCTGATCTGGTCTGATCTGAACTGATCTGGTTTGGTAATGTCTAATCTCTTTGTATTTTTATAACTATCCAAGTCTGATATGATCTGAACTTATCTGATCTGATCTAGACTGGTATGATTTGGACACTTTTACATTTATTAAAAGTTATTGTAATAATAAGTATGTACTATATACGTATTATTATGTACCATAGTATAATCAGCAATATAGTAATAGTAAGATAGAGTGGGTCTCAATTTCTTTTGTTTGGAAGTTGGAACAATACATAGCCACATAGGTAGAGACCCAAGAAAGATATGTGATTTTCTTTCCTTTTACTTTTCAGCTCGTTTGGAATTTTGATACTTTGAAAGTGTATCAATTTCAAATAAAATATTAAAATCAATCCTTTTCTAATACAGTATCCACTTATGGTCTTTTTGTTTGGTGTTAACCTAAGTTATTGAAGGTTCAATTTTTAGTTAACTCCGTTTGTTTGTGTTTTTGCAACAAGAACCTAGGTTATGTGTTAACCTCACTTAACTCCCGAGAACCTGGAATAACCTTAAATTGAAGAACCTCGAATCGAGGGGTTTTGGAGGTTAAGTTCTCATTTAACATAAAATGAGATAGAGTACCTTCATCCAAACAACATTTATTATATATTTCCAAACACAATTTTACAGATTCACTATAGATTAATCTAGTTTTTATTGAAACTTAGCTTTACTTTTATTGGTGCACTAGTTTTTATTAGTGCACTAATATTCATACGTATGTTTTTAGAGGTTTTTCAGACATTGAATTTGTTTATCTTGATTCTTGGAGTTACATTTGATAATAAAATTAATTCTACTTTTGGTCCTAAGAGTTTTGTGTCAATTCTACCTTTAGTCCACGTCTTTCACTTTGCCAACTTTCGATGCTTGACTAATGTTTTTTAACCGTTTGTGGTCCTTTCCCGGCAATTTTAACCATTGGAAACAATGCCGGAAGGACCATATATAGGCGAAAACCCAATAGTCGTGGATCAAAAGTGCACAAAATAAAAGATGTGGACTAAATGTGGAATTGGTCTAAAACTCGTAGGACCAAAAGTGGAATTTATTCTTTGATAATATTATGTGTGAGTTACATCTCATTATGTGTGAGTTACATCAACGTATACGCGAGTTACATCTTTTTTATGTGCGAGTTACATCTAATTATGCACAAGTTACATTTAATTATTTGTTATTTTTGTACCTATCATTATCTTTAACTAATTAAATTACAACTGAATTAACTTTTTTTTCTAATTTATTACAAAAATTTATTAACCCACATAAAATGAGTATATTGTATTTCATAATCACACATTAGGTTTTTACTTTTTTCTTCATCTTAAATTATTACTGAATTTATTTTTTGTGTATTTTTTTGCATTTATACACTTTTTTGTAAAATATTTTTC